CGGGGCGGGGCGGGGTCGGTCGGGTCGTGGGCGAGCACACGAGGGCAGGTAAGGGCCCCTACGGCTGGGCATGAAACTCCGGCAGCGCAAAGTACACTTGACTACCAGCGGGCCGGACACGTGTGCAAGAGAGCGAGAGAGGGAGAGGGAGAGGGAGAGAGAGAGAGCCGAGGTCGGTGGGAACACATCCTGCCCACAGACCCTCCCGGCCATCATCGACCCCAAAGGACCTCTGCAGCCGCGTCCACTTGACCGCGCCTACTGCTGCTGAAAAACCTCCCAGTGGCTGGAGTGATCGATTTTTTTTTACCAACAGCACTTATCAGTTCTTGTAGAAACTAGCTCGCGTTCTCTTACTTAGGTTCTCTCTTTCGAGATGAACGCCCTACCGGGTATGCAATAAATCCCGATGCACGCTGGCGCCTGCGGAACCCCGGGTAGGCAAGCCCGCACGGCGCGAGTGCGCCACAGGACTGCCTACCCAGGAGTCCGCAGGCGCCCAGGTCGTGCGGTCTTGCGTTTTGTGAGAAATCCGAGTCAGAAAGCGCCACAGGAGAACTTTTCATGTGTGTTGTAAAATTACAACTTATTACAATTGTAAAAATACAAGCAATAAGTATCGACATGGAATTCATTGACGAGCAAGAATGGGTTAACGTAAAATTAATTTACAGCATATAAATTTTGAATAAATCATAAACAAAAATATGTTGTAAATTCACAACGATATTTTTAACAGAGTGTCACTTTATTAACACTTGCCGAACTCAATCCCACGACTTGTCTCCGATCCGGATCCCCCCGCCAGTCGTATACTTTGATTGGCTCTCCCATTGGTGCGACTGACCTACGATACAGAGACCGCCCCCCGCCCCGCACGACTCCCCTTCCACGCTGCGGCAGGCCGTCTGTAGCCCGGCTCTGCGCCAACGAACACAGGGACGGCCACGGCCGGGCGGCGGGGCGGGCCGCCAGCTCCATCTTATGGCAGTTGTAAAAGCGATAGTTCACGAATATTGTCCCTGCAGGGCCCGGAGCCTCAGCCGGGAGGGACAAGGGGGTGGGGAGGGTCGCCGTCTGCAGCCCAGAAATCATCGCGGGCGCGCCAGACCGGCGATAAGTGCCAATAAACCGGCCGGGCCGACATCGCCGCGCGATATCGCAGCGATATCGCCACAATCATCTTTGCGGATGGAAGGAGGGTCGGTCACCGTGACGGCGGCGCGGCTACAGGCGGCCCGGGTGGCTGGCCTGGGGCTGGGCTGGCGCGAGGGCATGGACCACAACAAGCCGTGGAAAAAGAATTTCCGATTTTTTTGAATTTAAATTTTCTTTTTGAAATAACAAAATTTGCATTTTCTTTTCGCAAAAAAAGTGAAAGCAAAGTTTTTCTTTGCAATACAGAATTTGCATATTTTTGCAAAACAAAATGTGCAATTTTTTGCAAAACAACATTTGCAAATTTTTGCAAAACGAAATTTGCAAATTTTTGCAAAACAATATTTGCATTTTTTTGCAAAAAAATAAACACTATTGAGGCAGTTGAGTGCGTTAGGTTACCTGCGGTGAGGCGCACGTCCCTGGTGATGGCGCGGCCCAGGGCGGACGAGAGCACGCAGCGGTACGAGGCGCGGTGCACGTCGGGGCGGAAGTCGGCGGCGGCGAAGGGCGGGAAGACGAGCGAGCCGTTGGCCATCTGGTAGCGGAGGCCGGACACGGTGGGCGCGGCGCTGCCGTCCGAGAGCGTCCACTGCACGGCCGGGGGCGGCGACCCGCCCCCGCGGCAGTCGAGCCGCCCCCCGCTGCTGTTGGAGAAGTGCACCCGCGAGGGCGGCTCCACCTCCACCACCGGCCCGTGGCCCTCCAGCGCGCCCAGGCAGCCTGCAAAAACACAACAAAAACAGTGGGTTAAAACTAGCATAAATAGTATAAATTTCCTGGAATTAATATTCAAGGTAAATTTCAACACACGCGTTGTTGAATTTATCATCCAGTTTGTTGGTTCTGGCAAAAGCACACACTATCCTTATGCACTCTGTTGTGCATGCACTTGCAGAATTTTATACAGCCATAATTTTATGCATAACTGTGTACAGTGAGTGCATAATTATGCAAATTTTGTACAAAATTACGCATAACAATTGGTGCATACTCATAGCTGTATAAAATTATGCAAGTTTATGCACACCCAAATGCATGAAGGTTTAGTGTGTGCAAGTCAACGTGACTTCAACACTTTTCTGTGGAACATTCAAAGTAATAAAAAGTTCACTACAAAATACAACCACGAGTCAGGTTTGTCGAACAAATAAGGTCCATTTTTTATACTAGGACAGTAAAAAAAATCAGAGAATTTTGATTCAAATTAATATGGCACAAGAAAAACAGAGAGCAATGCGAAGAATGCACGCCCTTAAATTGCTGCTTACAGACGGCGACGCCAGCTACTAATGGAATAGGCTTCATGACATCTGAACCACCCCCTCCGGTGAGAGAGTGTGAGAACACAAGCGACTGTCAACGGGGTGGCGTATAATACCGTATAATAAAACGCTGCTGATGTGTCAGTGGCCGAGAGGAGAGGGAGATGGACGAAGATGATAAGTCAGCTGGAGGGAGAGAGGGAGACAGGGGAGAGAGAGGGAGAGAGAGAGAAAGAGAGAGGTGCGCCAGGAGAGCCCCCGAGCAGGCGAGGACACAGGACACGGCCCTGGCCGCCGTATTAGGCAAATGAGACCAGCACAGCACAGTAGCTGGCTGGGCTAACACACTGCAGCGAAGTGCGGCTTGCACTCTCACTGCTCTCTCTCTCTCTCTCTCTCTCTCTCTCTCTCTCTCTCTCTCTCCCTCATTCCCTCCCGACGCTTCTTCGTTACGCATCTGCATACACGAGCGACAAGCGTCGCCTTAAAACAAACCACGCCACCGTTGTCCGCGAAACTTTTCAAACAGCAACAACACACCCACCTCAGAAAGTTTCGAGGAAATACAATTTGGTCCACTTCAGAGGAGCGAGTACAGTCACTTTCATATAGGAAGGAAAAGTACAAAAGGAACAGACAAAAAAAACCCACAGAAAACCGCAGTCTGAATACCCGACAGCTACTTTTTGTTGTTTTTTGGTTTCCGTAGACCCATATAGGTATTATATAAATTATTTTTCAGTGGTTGTGAGGATTAAGTGTAGTGTTGGTTGATGCTTTTTTTTCCGCCACTTGGCAGTGTAGGCGCCAGGACAGGGTCCAGGTGGAGGTGTGGGCAGACAGTGCAAGGGGGAGGGGGAGAGACATGGGGCGACGGTGACGCGGTCGCAATAGTCATCAGAGTGTCTAATGGTTTGTTTATGCACGGGCCCTGCTTAGCGAATCCCCCTCGGACTGCCAGTGAGTCGTGTGATTTATAGCACTTTTCTTTATTTCTTTATTTCTTTATTTCTTTCTTTTTTTGTTTTTTTGTTTTGATGCGGTCAAGCGTGTCTGTGTGTGCTCGTACGTGGACGTTGTGGAGGGTGTTCGAGGGAGGTCCCTCCCGGGCCGTCTGTCGCACCACTCGTCGCCGGCTTGTAAGCGTGTAACACGGGCGCGACCAGCCGCATATTACAAACGTGTGTGTATGTGTGCATCGGGCAAAAGAGACATCCGGGCTGTGGAGAAACGGAGCGAGTATCGGAGAGAAAAGTAAAGTGTTTATTATTCGGTAAAACTGAACGAATCATGTACCTTACTTCACAACACCTTTTACAATATACATTCACATTGCATTTTATTACAGAAAAAACAACAACAAATAAATGACCAAATAAGAGGCCGGTTTTATAATAGGTCTTACAAAAAGATTGCCTGAAATACACTGGGTTTTACTGCCGGGCATAGTTGTACACTGCATCAAATCGCCTGCAATTCATCGGATACGCAGGGCTGCCTGGCCCGCGAGTATGCTATTGCCTACCGGGGTGGGAAGTGGGGGCACCGGGACCGGGCGAACAGCGTGGCGGGGGTGAGGTGGGGGAGG